TATATGTTCCAGGAAACACAGAAAGTTCCCCTAAGGTTAGCATATTGTGCCCATTTGTTTATTTTGGAGAACTAATCAATGATAACAAAAAATTATTTGTAGGCTATTTTTTTTTTCTATCCGAAATCTAACATTCAAAGAAAGTTCAGTAATTGTTAGCTGAATCTTATGGACCTGAGAGGTTTGATTTAGGCCAATCAACCAAACTAGGGATGATCTAGAAACCATGTAGACCAGTGGTTCTCAACCTTTTTGACTCCAAGATTGTCTAAAACAATATTCAAAGGCCTCATGACTTTTCCAGTTGTCTGTGATATACTGGACATGGATTAAGGACAAGTTATTTTTTGTATTTCTTTTTTAGTATTTACTCATAATTTCTACCCGATAAAATATTTCAGAGCTCGGCATAACCACATTCATTATATTTTAACAATTTACATGACTATTCCAGTTTTTTGTGTGTGTGTCTGTGTGTGTGTGTGTGTGTTTTATTGGGAATCCTGGTTCTTCAAAGTGTTTTGACTTATTTAATGCTCAATTTGTCTAATTTTAATTAATTTTAAGTCATCTTGAGGCTCCCTTGTAAGTTTGCAGAGGCCCCCTAGCTGGTTGAAAACCACTGACGTAGACCACAGAAGTAACTGCTATAAGAACAGTTTTGACATTGTCATCAAATATTTGCTGAACCTTGTAATGGGAGTGAGTCTGGATGCTAGTAGTGTTTTAAGATGTGTGTTAACAGGAGTGAAATGTGCCCTTGGCTGGACTAACATATCTGGCTCTCCACCTTATCTTCATCCCTCCTTATTCTCACATGTCTGCTGGGCAATGCCAGATCAGGACAAAGCTACAGTGTTCAGGGAACTGTACTACTGTTTCAGTGCTACAGCTGGGCAGCTCCAGGTGAAATAGACCACCAGTCAGTGGGCAGGGACAAATAAGCACACACACACACACACACACACACACACTCTCTATGGTAACTTTATGAGACACTTTAGAGGGTGGAATCTAAAAATCATTTTTTTTTTTAAATAATATTAATATGCATACTGGTGCAAGAGAATGATATTTCACAATGAATGTCATTAACAACGGTTTCATTCCATTATGTAGCTGAAAACAATAGAAATGATCCCTCAGAGATGCAGAAAAACGACTAATCACAACCATTGTGAATTGTAGCGCTGGCTCTGGTTAGATGTTTGTTTTATAAGCAAACTTCATTGTTGACTGAAAGAATGTCTCTCACGCAAACATGCATTGCTAAACCAACATTCACATATCTATTTATTTCTGGAACATTTTTTCATATGTATATGCAGCATATATTCAGTAAGAGTTAGAGCTAGAGAAATATCACCTCTAATATGTGTGGTCAACCTCATAGCCACTCCAAACTGTAAACAAATTTTCTTTGTATGTTTCTAGTTGATCTAATTCCATCCAGTGGCTTCAGAAACCAAGAATTAAAATCAAAAACACACATTTCAAGAGAAGTCTATGGCAAAAGATGTGCAAACGATTATTAGATCTATTTAGCTTGCGAAAAATTCTATATAACCTCTAAAATGTTTACTTAAACTCGGATATCTTGGCTGGGTTTGAACTAACTTTAAAAACACCAGTTAGGACTGATGAGGAGAACAATTTAGGAATATCAAACCCACTAAGGGATCCTCTAATTTGCTTCAGTTTTGCACCATTTTTATTCAGCTTGAATCTGTGAACATTGCCAATCAGACTAGGGCTCTCAAAAAACTTGAACTGACCTAAATTCAAACCACTTTTACATTATTCACACACACACACACACACACACACACACACACACACACACACACACACACACAC